CTGCAATGACAACAGGAATAAACTGTATGTCACAAACAACGCACTGTGTGTGATAAGCCATTATTTGCCGTGGTGCTAAAAACTGGGGGAAATGGGTGGGTGGGGGGGGGGGAAGAGAGCTCAGATATCTTAACCTTCCCCCTCAGGGTTGAGGTTCTGGAAGATTTTCAACCCTGAAGGGTGAACCGAAGCGGACTTTTAATAAGGTTGCAACTAGTACTATTAGCATGCCAAATCTTTGTTGGTACCAAAGAAGGCGACAGAGCACGTGTGGGTTTGTCCCTAGTGCAGTGATGTCAGTTCTTGATTTATTCATTCATTCACTCATTCGTACAGCGTTTCTAGTTCTTCCTATAGGCTATTCTACATGGCGCTGATAATCATCCGTGTCAGTAGCCGTCTGTCTCATGTACTGTCCTTCACTTCTAATAGGGGTGTTATTTCACGCCATGATGCCAAACTGTCCAGTATCTTCTCTCACTCTCCTCCTGTCTTCTCTCTTCCTCTTTAACTTAACTCTTGCCATGACACACTCTAGTTGACTGTTCTCTTTGAATTCAAATGTGTGTTTCCATTACTGCAAGTATTTATTTCTGAGGTGAGGAGGGAGGAGCGTGGAAAAGGGGGGGGGGGGAATTGCTGAGACTGGGGGTTTAAGACTATATGGCTAGTGCTGTCGCCACGAATTGTGCAGGTCGTGATTTTATTTTTTTCCCCCACAGATTAAAAAAAATTCCACAAGTTTTTCAGAGGATCTGAATCTGGATCTCATGCGCGAGAGTCCTGCTTTGGTAACTGATCAGCCAGTAGTTTCTTTGAATGTAAGTAATACTGCTTAGCAGTAGTGGTGGTACTGGTATTATCCATAGCAGCAGCAAGAACAGTAGCAGTGGTGGTAGTTGTGAAAGTAGTAGTAATAGTAGCAGCAGCAGGTGGTGGTGGTGGTGGTGGTGGTAGTAGTAGTAGTAGCAGTAACAATAGTAGCAGTAACAGAAGCAGCAGCAACAGTTGTAGTGGTGGAGGTAGTAGTAGCAGTAGTAGTAACAGGAGCAGCAGCAACAGTTGTAGTGGTGGAGGTAGTAGTAGCAGTAGTAGTAACAGTAGCAGCAGCACTAGTAGTACTGGTGGTGGTTGTGGTAGTAACAATAGCAGCAGCAACGGTACTAGTGGTGGGTGTAGTAATAATAACAAGCAGCAACAGTAATAGTGGTGGTGGTAGTAGTAATTGTAGTAAGTATTCCCCTTAACCAAATATAGACGTTAAGTATAGACGTTGAGCTTTAAGCATTTTTAATACATTTCATGTTGTTTTAAATACAGTGTTATATTTATTTGCCTTTTAGCACTTAATAATAAGAATAAGAGTAATAATAATAATAATAATAAAAGTGTGGCCATAACAAGGCTAAAGCCCTTAAGCCCCTTTTTCTCCATAACCATTTTAGCCTTATAAGGATCCCTTACCCAACCCTGCCCCTTTTTTTGGGCCCCCTCCTCAGTGTGTTTTTTCGGCGCCCCTGAAACGGAAGAATCCACAGAGACACGAAGAACTTGTTATTCTCAAGTTGTGCAACCCTCGGGCCTGTGATGACACTTCCTAATCGCTGTGTCCGGTGCCGTCTGTCTTCTGTCGCTCTCTTTAACGCGCCATACGTCTGTCGACACAGGGCAACGTGCTGAGGGTAACCAATGTATTTTTATGAATACGAGAATTCAGATATACTCATTTAGCTAGCTACATAGTTTGCCATTCAATGAATTCGTTAGTTGGTTCTTCATAGCTTGTTGAGGTTTACTTTTTAGTTCGTCTGTTAGTTCTCAAAAGTAAGTAGTATTTTTTTAAATTTATTTATTTATTAATAGCTGTACCCAAAATGGTAAACTGGAAAAGAAAGAAAATAGCCCTCAGCTAACAGTGTCTGTTATAACCCCCTCCCCCCCCCCCCCCCCCCTCCTCCTCTCCTATCCCCCAGTCACATCTCCCTCTCCGAAGGATTGAAAAATCATCTCCTGGCGAAATTATTAGGATAGAAAAAATTAAGAAATGAGAACTGTAAAAAAATGTTTTAGAATATTCTATGACCGGAAAGACTAGTCAGAGCAACAAATGCCTGCAGAAGTCGGTTGTGTCGGCCGAAGTGCGCAAATATCGCAGCCGTGCTGAAAAAGGACAAAAAGCATTTGCGTCTTCGTATGAACGCAGAAGAAAAAATCAAATGCTATATAGTCTGCTTTGTCATTTGAGACGATAAAGAGAATTCACAAGAGCTATATAAATCATATTCTGATACATGGAAATGAATCATAGACAATTGGACGAATAATAAATAACTGTGTTGAAGCGGCGGAGATGTGGTTTTATAAACGAATGATGACCATACCCTGAACATATTAAAACAGTAATGAAGATGTCTTGACATAAACTAGCTCAAGAAGAAGAAGAGAACTGACTGTCCATATCAGAAGGAGTCTATCTAGATTCTTTGGTCATGTCAGGATAAGGAGAAAACTGGAGTACATCGTAAGGTGGGAAAGTTAAAGAGAAAAAGAGGCAGAGGGAAAACAATGGAGAAGATGATGGACAGAGGGTTTTGAATAGCAATGTCCCATTGCATCGACTAGAAAACGATGAAGTTGGTGTGTTTTTGAAGTTGGTTTGTTGAGGTGATAGATTGAGGCGCACAGATACACAGACACACAAAATGGGGGTGGCTTCAACCCTGCCCTCTCTACAACCAGTAGTTTATTAACTTGTTAGTTCGCACGTTAGCTGGCTAGCTAGCTAGCTAGCCAGCTAACTAAGTATCTAACTATTTAACCTATTGTTAACAAATAGTTAACGAAGAACTAACTAGCAGCTAACTAGCTAACTAAATAACTGTCTTACTAACTAAAAAACTAGCTAGCTAGTTAGTTAGTTAGTTAGTTAGTTAGTTAGTTACTTAGTTAGTTATTTAGTTAGTTAGTTAGTTAGTTAGTTAGTTAGTTAGTTAGTTAGTTAGTTAGTTAGTTAGTTAGTTAGTTAGTTAGTTAGTTAGTTAGTTAGTTAGTTAGTTAGTTAGTTAGTTAGTTAGTTAGTTAGTTAGTTAGTTAGTTAAATAGGTGGTTAATAAAGTGGCTACTTAAGTAGCTACCTATTCTTTACTCCATGATACCAAACTGTCCATTATCCTGATGGCAAAGTATTCCAAATCGGGCATTAAAATTCATCTCGATGCGGACACAAAACAGATCATCGTGATAGCAAAAGTAAAGGTAAAAGTGAGAGGGTCGACTTCATTGCAACGGGGTTTACCCTCGTCTGGCTCAGTCTTTCTCCCCAGAACAGCTAGCTGCCTGCTAAGGGCGTCGCACACAGCACGACCTCCGTAGCTCTGGGGACGATCTCCATGGATCACCGTAAAAACAATTACACTCGTTAACTGAACGGCGCCCCCGTGATTTGAAACCCACGACCTTCAGATCGCGAGGCAAACGGCTTGACCACTTCGCCACGGAGACCACTCAGGACAGCAAGCAAGCGTCTAACGACTACACTGCTGCGGAGGTCCTGTTCTACAGCAGGATATTTTGAAAAATAAAACATGCGCGTATATTCTGGAACGAGCAAACGAACGAGTGTTAGTTTGTATCCAGTCCATGAGGCGTGCTTCCTTCAATCTATCTTCAGAATCGACAGCCTGAAAGATGAGCGAATTCACAGGATATCGATCGTATCTCGGGTTCTTATGAGATGCTTAAGAGATCGCCTCATCTGTCCCGCGTCTACAGCTCATCATAGATTCCTAATATAATTTGTGTGTGTATTTGCTGTAGGAGAGAGAGAGGGAGAGGGAGAAAGGTAGCAGATGTGAATATAGAAATAAAGAGGGAGACACAAAGAGAGATTAGACGTCAAAACAGAGCCAGACACACACACACGTGCGCCCAAAAAAGAGGGAAGGGGGGGGGGGGGAGAAGAGAAAGTGCACTTAGAAATTGTGAGAGATGAAGCGATCATTTTAGAGACAGAGACATTATTTTATCAGGGAGAGAGAGAATATTGTCCTCTAGAGGATGGAATCATGGAATCGTTTGAGAGAGAGAGAGAGAGAGAGAGAGAGAGAGAGAGAGAGAGAGAGAGAGAGAAGAGGGAGAGAGAGTATTGTCTTCTACAGAGATGGAATCGTTTGACACACAAAGAGAGAGAGAGAGAGAGATTATTGTCTTCTATAGAGATATAATCGTTTGAGACACATACAGAGAGAGAGAGAGATTATTGTCTTCTATAGATATATAATCGCTTGAGACATATATATATAGAGAGAGAGAGAGATTATTGTCTTCTATAGAGATATAATCGTTTGAGACACATACAGAGAGAGAGAGAGAGAGAGAGAGAGAGAGAGAGATTGTTGTCTTCTACAGAGATGTAATTGTTTGATACAGAGAAAGGGGAAAGAGAGATTATTGTCTTCTATAGAGATATAATCATTTGAGACAGAGAGAGAGGGGAGAGAGATTACTGTCTTCTATAGAGATGGAATCATTTAGGACAGAGAGAAGGGAGAGAGATTTTTGTATTTTTTAGAGATAGAATCATTTAAGATAGAGAGAGGGGAGAGAGAGAATATTGTCTTCTATAGAGATGGAATCGTTTGAGACAGAGAGAGGGGGGAGAGAGAAATTATTGTCTTCTATAGAGATGGAATCGTTTGAGACAGAGAAAGAGGGGAGAGAGAAATTATTGTCTTCTATAGAGATGGAATCATTTGAGACACAGAGAGAGGGGAGAGAGAAATTATTGTCTTCTATAGAGATGGAATCGTTTGAGACACAGAGAGAGAGAAGAGAGAGATTATTGTCTTCTGAAGAGATGGAATCGTTTGAGACAGAGAGAGAGGGGAGAGAGATTACTGTCTTCTATAGAGATGGAATCGCTTGAGACACAGAGAGAGGGGAGAGAGAGATTATTGTCTTCTATAGAGATGGAATCGTTTGAGACTGAGAGCGGGGAGAGA